CTTGTTGCAACAAAGTCTAGTTCGTATGCCTGGCTATCAACTCTGTTCACAGGCATCTTAGGCATTTTATAAAGATAACCAAGAAGGACATTATTCTACATTCTATAAATTATTTTATTATTCCTCAAGCACAATGTCAGGACTTGCACATTATCTCCTGAACTTCTCTGGTCTTCAGAGATTAAGTTAGCACAAATGTATTTCCTTTCATCCTCAAGACAGATTCGTTCCAAGAAGTCTCACAAGACAGTATCTGCACATTTATGAATTTTTATTTATTTATTTTATGTTTTTGCCATAGGGCACATGGGCTCACCAGAGAGAGACAGAGAGAGGGAAAGTGAGAAATCAACCTTCAATGGGGATGGCCACGCCACAATCCCTTCTCTTCCATTTCTCTTAGACCCATACCTGCCTGGCCAGGTATCAGAATCTGCAGACTTGTCTTGTTGCAACAAAGTCTAGTTCGTATGCCTGGCTATCAACTCTGTTCACAGGCATCTTAGGCATTTTATAAAGATAACCAAGAAGGACATTATTCTACATTCTATAAATTATTTTATTATTCCTCAAGCACAATGTCAGGACTTGCACATTATCTCCTGAACTTCTCTGGTCTTCAGAGATTAAGTTAGCACAAATGTATTTCCTTTCATCCTCAAGACAGATTCGTTCCAAGAAGTCTCACAAGACAGTATCTGCACATTTATGAATTTTTATTTATTTATTTTATGTTTTTGCCATAGGGCACATGGGCTCACCAGAGAGAGACAGAGAGAGGGAAAGTGAGAAATCAACCTTCAATGGGGATGGCCACGCCACAATCCCTTCTCTTCCATTCTCCTTGGGATTTGGGGCACACACGCACATGAATGTGGAATGATTTTCCAACTGCCAGGTCTGAAACTCAAAATGTGATTGGCCACGTGGGAATCCAGAGCCTTAACCAGCAAGCCACCTGCTAGCCCAGAAACATTTGTGCTATGTGTTACTCATTCTCTTTTGCCTTCCTACTTAACTCAGTTTTTATATATGGCTTAGGAGTTTTCATTTCTAGCTGTAAAGCTAGAAATGTAGCAGGACTTGGGCAAATGGCAGCACAGAATAGACAGGGTGGAGCCAGCCCCTGGCTCTAGGTCCACAACCGGGGTCAAAACAGATGTGTCAACAAATGCTGCAGACACAGTTGTTGATAGAGGCAGTTCAGGACCAGAGAATCCAGCCCCATACAGAAAACTAAACAGAGCAAAGCTGCTAGGACCAAAGGCAGAATCTCCTGACACACAGAAGCCAAGTGTAGAGAATGCTCGGAAAGATATACTCAAGACACCTACAGAGCCAGTCTCTCAGAAGAAACTCAATATATATCAAGTGCCAACAGGGTCTGCCCCAAATCCCATTTCCCTGAGACCATCGTTTTTATCTTCCACTGTTCTATAAAATCAGCAAACCAGTCACTCTTTCTCACACAATAACTGGCTTTTGAAGTTTCCAAGAAAATGTAAAATATGGTTGACATCAATATAGTATGAATATCCAGGGACCCTGTCATTTCTCTACATACTGCAAATGCTCCAGGAAAGTCTGAGTAAAAACCACTTTACGATTTTATGAATAATACAAGTTGCACTCCTTTCAAGCTAATATATGACTTTTTTGACACCATCGACTTGAAAAATAAAAAGAAATCTACGAGGTATTTCTCTAACCCTTCTAGTTGCATAATTTCTTTGTTCTAAAGAAGAGGATCAAGAGACCAATTAGAATCTTTATCCTAATAAACTGTGAAATACGAGACAGAAAAATGATGCATTTTTAACTTGCCTACGTGAATTTATGCCTTTGCAACTCTTATTACTACCACTTCCTACCACAATTAAAAGGAATGTAGAAGCATAGTAGCAAATGGCATTAGAAGTTTAATTTCTTTGAGGAAATGTATGAATTAGAATCAAGATAATGTTAAAGGTCATGTGGCGTAACTTCTGTTCAATAAATACATAACACTTAAAGTTAATTGAGCACTTGCTCTGTATAGCAAGCACTCTTTCAATACATCATCGGATCCGCCTAAAACCCTGTGATCCCGTGTTAGAAAAAAAAGATACTGAAACCCAGAGAGGTGAAGTGACTTGCACAGTCACTTTGCTAGGTGACAAAGCTGGGATTCAAATGCAGGTTCTTAAACACTGAGTGATTACAATTCATTGTACAACATATGTAAATATGATCCGCTTTATTCTTAAATGTTACTACTAAGGTTAATACGGCATATGGTATTTCCCATGGAACTGTATGGAAAACATTCACCGCACAATTGAAAGACCCAGCTTTCTGGTTTTTATTTAAGCATTGCCACTGATATTTAAGGAGATGAACCTTTTTTCTACTATCTGATGACTCACCAGCCCTAAAGAAGCAATCTGTATTAAAAAAACAATGAAACAAAAACAAAATAAGGGATAAAGGAATCTGATGGCAGGATCTTGGCATCTGCCAGAAAATGTGTTTAATAATTGGAACACAAGTCATTGCCTTTAGAATTCCGTGTTGTAGGAAAGCCACTGAGGAAGAATTTCCTTTCCCAGCCATCTACATCTATGGCCTGTGGGCTATTGTTCATGACAGATGGACTGGATGCCGCTGAGATCATAGAGCGTATCAGTCTTCTCCACGTGTCCATAGTGAGTTTGGAAATCGTGCTAGCTCGAGGGCCTCTGAATAGTGGCTGCACATTTGCCACTGGATGGTTTCATTCTGCGTCTGTTGTGTCTGATAAAAATGGATGAACTTCACATTTTCTTCAGAATACACCTACAAAGGTCAGCTATTTTTCTTTTCCTTTTTTTTTTTTCTTTTTAGGTTTTTATTATAATGTGCATGCGCTCACCAGAGAAAGAGAAAGTGGGAAATTTCCTCCCAGGGTGGATGGCCACCAAAATCTCTTCTCCTCCATTCTGCTATTGAGATTTTGGGCACACACTTGGAGTGATTTTCAAGTCACCAGATCCAGGATTTGAACCCAGCCGCTGGCTAGGAGGGATCCAGCTTCCTTAAACACCACACCACCAACTGGCCCTCAATTTCTTTTTTTAAAAAACTGTCAATAGATTGTCTTTTCCATGCAAGTTGTAAATTGCATTCCTTTTCCTCTTTGATCCAACAGTAACTACTTTTTCAACCGCTAGTTTCAAAATAGACGGTCCAGCCTTTGAACTGTTTAAAGTGAAAAGCATACGCAACAGAAAAACAACAGAAATGTTGAGGTTGAGATCATAGTTCCATTTAGGTTTTCTCAAGGATAATCTGGGGTTTGAAAAGAACACCTGCCACCAGCCCTCTGTAGCACTTTTACTCACACATCAGCTCTCTAATGTTGACTCTCCTAATAGACCTTATCATTCAAACTCTCGGGGTTCTCAGCACCAGAACAAAACTGCCACATGTCTGCTCATTCCGGAGTCAAAGCTGTCATAATCTGCTGTTACGTTTTTCTGAATGTCCTCAAGCTGTCAAAATGTTCACTGTGTCTATTAAAATATGCCAGATTCATTTGAGGCACTGGGTACCACCAATATCTTAAAGATAGATAAGGTTGGATGAAGATTCAAATGAGAATAGTAAAAAAAAAAAAATAGAGCATCTTTGGTACTAAATGTGATAGATTCTATTATAAAAAATTATTGATACTATCAGGATAGTAATGTGTCGATACAGATAAAATCAACCTTGTTTGTTACACAAAACATGGTATAACAGCATTTCAGTGGTTAGCACCTTTTTGTTTTTGCTGGCTAAAGATTAAAATGTGTGCCAATTCTAGACCAATATAGTTGTTAGAGTTAATCATGTTTTATTCATTTCTAGGTTGTATCCCAAAATATTGTATGTCTGTGTTCAAACAAATACCAATACTCCAAGCATCCTCGGAAGACGTTATAAAACCCTGAAATCATACTTTAACAAATATAATGAGCCAAAAAGGATGGAGGCTCATGTCTACCTAAGTTCCATAACACATCAGAGCACTTCTTCCTGTCCACACTGGGAACTAAAAATCACCTTCATGTCTGCTCTTCATAACACACAACTGCAGAATTCCAAATTCATTAAGATAGGGAGAAGGAAATTATTCATGTATAGTTACATTGCTGTGGTTTGTTTTCTATTGGGAAATGAGCATGAAAACTTCTCATCTTGTTTCTATTGGCATTGTTCCAGGATTTACAAAAAGAATGGGAGACTGGACGCTCATCCAGGATTTGAGGATCACAAAGCAACAAAGTTAGACTGGAAGAGAAACTGTGCTGCTCAGGGGCAGCAGGAGAAAATGTTTGCAAACTATGCTTCTTTGCATTGGTCAAGTTCTCCATCTCTATTAAACACAAGGATCATTATCACTGGTGCTTACCTTTGGGATCTGACTTTAGTCACAACCCTAATTTTTAGTTTCCCAAAAATACATTTTTTGAGAAATTTTTTTCTATAGGGTACGTGTGCTCTCCAGAGACATGGAGAGAAACAGAGAAAGAGAAAGGAGAAATCATCCCCCCCGCAGGGGTTGGGGAGAGATGGCCACACCACAGTCCTTTCTCCTTCATTCTCCTCTCAGGATTTTAGGCTCACATCCACAGGTACCTGGCACAAGTTTCAAGCGGCTAGGTCTGGGCCTTGAATCAAGTTGACCATGTAGGACTCCAGTGTCTTAACCACTACGCCACCTGCTGGTCCCAAAATACATCGACCTTAAGACAAATTTTATCAAAGAATAAATTGTCCTTCCTTGATGGTAAGATATTCAAGTACAGCAATTTCAAACTGATTAATATAATTTGGCTCAAAGAACTGAGGACATGTTATTAAATCCAGGTCCTAGTAAGTATGTTCAAGTCTGAGCTTACCCATTACATATATTTTTAAAATTTTAAAGAAAAATCTGTTTCATCCTAGTCTTCTTCATGAATGACTCAACCAATAGGGTCAATAAGCTTAACACTTACCTCAAAGGCCTGCTGTATTTTCACAAAATCGTCCACGCTGAGTTGGTTTTCTAGAAGCCCTGTGCTGAAATCTTCATCTGCAGTGACACCTGTTCTCTCCGGGCTCTTTGGCCCAGGCCGCCACCCTGTGTTTAACTCAAGTGCAGCGTTCTGGTAACTCATAATGGCTTCCCTTCTTTCCATCAGTCTTCAACTATTTCTCTTTCTGTTTAGACTTACTGTTTTCTTTCACAGGGTGCCTTTGAAAAGAAACCCAACCTAGCAACAGAATTCCAAAACGAAAGCACAACCCTTTCAAGGCACACCATTAGGAGACAAAAATCCAGGCCAGGTCAGGAAATGAAGCCCTCAGTCAACTCAAGTATTTGCTTCCACAGTTTATTCTCAGCATCCACCACCAAAAGACTCAAAAGCACCCCCCTCTTTCTACTCTGTTTACCTTGGCTTGATTAAAAATGTGTAATGTTTCCTGTATGTTTGTAGCAACCGACCCAGAAAGCAGTTGGTAAGCCTAATTTTAAAGGCATCGGCAAATCAGCTTCTCAAAATCTCTTTAGCTAACCTGGCTTCCATGAACATGGGCTGGTTTTTGACTCCATTTTCTGGTCTGGAAGTGGAGGAGGATGCACTGCTAAGGGTCTCTACAGAGCAGTGCTCCCCGAAGGCCACCTCCTCAGTGCTGTGAAGTTGTTTCCTCTGTTCCTGATGTTTTTGTGTGTTTCCTGGCAACCAGCACAAAGCCAGCTAAAACTTTTCCTTTCCCTCTCCTCCAACTGAAGCTTCAAATATATAAGGTATGTTGAGATGTTTTGTTTTTAAAAGACAGTTCAACCACTTTTTTTAAAAAAAAAATTATTAAGTTGTACCCTGTATTTAAAAAGAGCTATTAGAAATATATTTTCTATGAAGCATGTTATGTATTATAAAATAATACAATTTGCCAAAGTAAAGAATATGGCCATCATAAATTTTTTTGAATTACTTATTTAATTTTTTTATTACTGTTATTAGTTTTTACTTTTGCTATAGAGCATGCATGCTCACCAGAGAGAGAGAGTGAAAGAGAGAGAGAGAGGGAAAGTGAGGAAACAAGCTGCCAGGTCCAGAACTTGAACCATGGTTAGCCCTGTGGAATCCAACACCTTAACCACCACACCCCCATGTTGGCCCTGGCAATTATAGAATTTTGTATCTTTTCACAGAAAATGCCTTATTTAATAAGAATTCATCCCCTACATTCTTTGTCTTAATCTCCACATACATAAAATAGGGATGGTTCAAATAAATCTTAAAACTCATCGACAAGGTAGGGGGAAAACTCAACATAGCACAGGATAACAATAGCACTACTTACAGTGTCAGCCCTGTTCAGTTACTGAAAAGGAAGAGGAAAAAGAGAAAAGTTCACGTTTTTGAGTCTTTATCATGTGCCAGACACTGCCCTGAGCACTTTACATTTCTTACCTTGTTTAAGCTTGCTAGCAACTCTTCAAGGTGCGTATGGTCATTATCGCCATTTGATGGAGGAGAAAGCAAAGGAAATGCCAGAGTTCATGAAGTCAGTAAAACATGGGAAATTGCAGAAGGGCTCCCAAGCGTCAGCACCTGCGCTGAACAAGGATGCCTGCCTTAGGCCTTCTTTTCATCTCGGTAAACAGGAAAGTTGGCACTGGATAGTCTCGAGGGTCTCTCCCAGCTCTAACGACCATACAGCTGCTTTCTACCAGGCACGCGGAGAGTCAGAGGTCATTCCCTTCATCACAGAGAGGAAGCATCCTGGGGGACTTCCTGTACCAATTTCAGGGGAAAAAATCCTTTTTAATTGTATTTATATTTGTATTAATTCACCCTTCTGTTTGTCCATCGTTCATTCAAAATGCCATTTTTTAAGAGCCTACTGTATGGGGACCAGCAGATGGCGAAATGGTTACGTCACCGGACTCCCACATGGCCCACTGCACTTTGAGTTGCAGGCCGAGTGGCTTGAATCTCACACTGGACACATGTGCGTGTGTCCCCAAAATCTGGAAAGGAGGATGGAGGAAAAGGGATTGTGGTGTGGTCATCCTTGCTGGGAGGTGATTTCTCTCTTTCTGTCTCTCTGTCTCTGTCTCTCTGGTGAGTACAAGCACCCTATAGCAAAAATCTCTTTAAAAAAAAAAAAAAAAAGCCTACCCTACTGTATGTCAAATCCTGAGTCAGAACCAGTGCCAACTTGGAGAGGTGCCCTAGGAGAGGCTCCAGTCAAGTAGCAGGAATTCACCTTTCAAGCCAGTTCCAACCTCTTGGTATTTACAGTGCTGTGTGGAGAAGGACTCTGATGTCACAGTGGGCTCAGAGGGGACGAATGGTGCTGTGTACCATGGGCACAGATACACAATGGGGTGATGCATATTTTTACCACGAATTTGCTTTTGCTCAGCCCCTCCTGTAAGCTAGAAGACGTTTTAAGCTCTCATATTATAAATTCCCCTACGTTCTCTCACGGGGGAACAAAACCCTAGTTAGTAAGTTAATAATAGTTTAGATCAGCTGGATCAGCCTCATTAATGTTTATAAAATGTTTTTGTGTTATTCCAGAGAGTTACAGATGCTAATGAGGAAAGGAAAAGGAAATAGAAAAAAAACACTCTGTGAAGCTAAACCAGGAGAGGTAGGTGTCCCACTGGCTGACGATGCAAAATTCTCTAATTATTCTGAGAGTCAAGCTGCCTGGCCTACTTAGCTTCCATAAAGAAGCAGCTCTAAACGTTTTCATTAGTCAAAACAGGGAAGTATAATGAGCAGCTAGCAAATTACAGTAGACGTTAATCAATTGACACCTCTTTTTTTTTTTCTGTAAAATGATGGCATTAGAAATAATTCTCACTCATAAAATCTTAAATGGCTCTAACCTTCCCTGTAACTGTGTGTGGTTAATGCCCAGGTTAAATTTCTGCAGCACTGTAAAAGTCACAACTAGCTTCTTGACTGATGAAATTTACCTTCTTGCTTGCCATGAATCAATTATGATTTTGTGAAAATCTGCAGCATGCCCAATCCACTGCCGTGCTGTGTAGCGATGAGCAGTCTGTGGTCTCGAAGTGTTGACAGTTTAGTCCGGAGAGGCTAAGATACAAATTGACACTGGCTCTCTCCTCCTGGAGGGACAGCCAACACTTGCTACGGATTGGAGTCATAGGGCGGAGCATGCTGATAAGTCTGTTGGCCTCTGCTTCCTTTGGAACCTTGGGACTGAGGAATTCTCCCCAGGGAGCAGGCATCCCATCTGCACCCTTATCAATACTCACCAGTCCTCACACAGATCCCTGCTCTCTTCCCTCGTGATATGTTCCCACCCACACGGGTATAGACCTCCCCTCAGCTCTCAGTCCTCTTCGCTTTGTTTGCCTTCCAATCACAGGGACATCCCTCTTTACTCACATTCTTAAGCTTTGCCTAGAATTCCCCCTTCACCTCCTCACTTGAGCTGAAGCCTGTTTTTTCTTGCCAACCTCATTTCCCACCATGTCATCTATCTCAAGTCCAGGCTGATCCTTTGTCCTCAGTTCTCATCTTTCTGCACCAGGAGAAGGATGTTTTCCTTCTACTTTCTTGCCTTTGGAACCCATGCCTTTCCAGTGTGGACCCAGTGACCAAATACCCCAGCACTGTGTTCAAGGGCAACCTCCTCCCAGAGCCTAGGGGTAGCACCAGCCTTGTATTTGAGATCTCTAGGCCCTCAATAAATGGTAGCTTCTTTCCTTCCGTGTGCCTGACCTTCCCACGTAGAATTAATTACTCCTCTCTGCAGCCACAGCATTTCCTTTACACGTTTTTCCCCTGCCTTGTAATATAATTAGTTGTCTGTGTATCTCTCTCTCCCACTAGATTAACTCCCTAAGCTACCTCGCGAATGCCTGTAGCCTAACATTACTCAACGCAGCGCTTTGCACAAACCACACAACAGTGCAGTGACGCACGTCTGTCACACAGCATGGGCGAGAGTGACATTCACCTATAACCTTGAGTTGTCAATGTAACATCCTGCAAATAGGTAGCATGGGGTCCAAAAGCATCAGAATTCTGTGAACTAATAAAATCAATAGGAGAAATAACAGTTGAGATTATACTTTCAAGCCACTTAACAAATAACCTACACACGCACATTTTGACACAAAGCATTGCTTTTTATCTATACAATTTCTGTGGAATATGTGAATGTGTTGAGGTCTACACTGCTCCACGTGCTGCTCTGGGTACCAGGAAAGCAGAGATGAGTGAGATACATCTCTGTTCTTGCCGTTGCTTCAGAGACACTTAGAACTGCAAATACTGGTTTTAAATTAATCCTCCCATGACAAAGCAGGCTCTCATTAACTTTAAGCAGCTTAATGTTAGCCTTTCTTTTTTTTTTTTTGATCTGCTG